TATAACCACCACAGGAGCATTCTGTCAACTGACAGTGCTCAGGATTAATTACTTCTGCTTTTCAGTGTCATTTGAAAGTTTTGACTACCAATTTTAAGTAATTTTAATAGTTGAGTTTTTAAGTACTTAATTTCAAATATAATCTTACAGACCAGAACTCACTCACACTCAGCTCAATTTAATTTTAACCCGTGGCCATTTGGTGGTTGGTCATGTGTGCTCAGCATAGTCTTTGGCCTGTGGCATTGGGAATCAGTGTTATAAAGTAATTACTTTCCTCATACAGAAAGGGGAAATGATAAGAGGAAATTGTTACTCCAAGATAATTTGGTGGAGCTGGAACTCCAAAATGCAAATTTTCTGCATTGGCTCCAGATCCTGAACTACGTATGGAGGTGGATTCTATTTGAGATCATACTAATCTGATCTACAAGTTGGATCTTCTCATGAGGATGTTCTTAGATAAAAATTGAGCTGATAGGACTGAACCAAGACCAGGTTCAGTGTTTTCCCTCCTAGAATTTGAAATACTTGTATCACTATCAGGCCAGCATTTAGCTTAATAAAGGAAGGAGTCTTGGCTTCACCTTGCCTTGTGGAAGCAAGTAGGAAGCAAGCAAGTAGAGGCATCCTGATGTTCTGGTGTGTGGTTAAGGAAGTTTGATAGAGCTTAAGATCCCCAGACAACCATCAGTCTCTGATCTGCACATCACCGTTGGTTTGACCGTTCAGCATTGAGGTTTTCTCCAAAAGTTACTGCTTTCCTAGACAGTGTCAAGTTGCTCATCTCACTTATATGAATGACTTTTAATTGACCTTGAGAGCTTCCTGCTGAATAAATTGTTGAACATTGAAAGCAAATGAAATCTGAGGTAAAACCATCCTGCTGGGATGAAAAGCAGAGTTGGCTCTGCTCTTTGGGGGCAAGTACAGCAGCACAGTTAGTTGACCCTTGAACAACACAAGGGTTGGGCACTGACACCCCTCCCCCACAATTCAACCCATATATAACCTGACTCCCCAAAGACTTAATAACCTACTGTTGACCAGAAGCCTTACCAATAACAAACAGTTGATTACATTTTTGTATGTTACATGTATTATATACTGTATTGTTACAATAAAGATGTCATCAAAAAATCATAAAATACATTTACAGTATTTATTGGGGGGGAAATCCACACGTATGTGGACCTGTGCAATTCAAACACATATTGTTCAAGGGTCAACTGTAGTCTGTTTCTAAGGCTTTTTTTCCGTTAGGCCAGTGACGTGGCAGAACTCCAAGGTAAGGTTGAAACATTAAGTTTACAATATGTACTGACAATTCAGTTCTATAGTTTTTGTTTATATTAAATGGCTTGTTTTAAAACATTCAACAGCAGGTCTGGGTCTGCACTGTGACCTTGTTGATTGGCATGGTGGTAATAGTACCAAAGCCACTGTTTACTCCACGTGGATTTTTAAATCCTAGTTGACTTTGACCAGTCCTGCCCTGTTTACTGTTTGCATATCCTGTGGTCTGGCTGGAGAACTTTGGGGCCTGGCTCTGAGACAGGGCAGAGCACCAACTTTGGTCTTTCTCCACCTCTCCCCATGTGAACTGAACTAGGTTTTGTTTCCTTGGTTAAAATAGCATCTGAAATGAAGTAACAAATACTGTGCAACCTATCTCCAGTCTGCCGTTAAGGTTAGACTGGAAAAGAACCAGCTTTGAGAATATCATTGGTATTTTTGTGTACTCAAAAAGGAAGACAAGAGTTTCCGTCCAGCTGATTTTGAACGCCTCTTTAGCAAGCTCCCATACCCTCTTCAGGAGACAACTGGTGCACTAGATTCTGTTTCTCAATTCAGGCAGATGTGAATTTTCAAAGAATCCCTGGACAGAACAAGGACTAGAACTCAAATCAAGTGTTAAGTTTCACATGATTTCCCCAGAGTCCCCCTCATGCTCCACAATAAAGTCAGAACTAGAGGCAAGGAGAATGACTGACCTGTGTGAGACAGAGTAAAGGTGAAAGGGTTACTGTTCTTGGTACACTGACAAAATCACAAGTCAAAGGTCTGTGGGCCCCTATCCACCTCCCAAATGAATCAGTGGTAGGAAAACAAGGCTTAACCACTTAGGATAATCAAGCACTTAGGTTTTGCCAAAGAATTTCTATGCTTGGCAGGGAAAACAACTTCCAGAGAGGCAGACGCCAATCTAGTACCTGTATTGGCATGGCATATGGATAGCGTCAATGAGGAAATGAACTTATGGCTGGAGGTGCCCTAAAACTACTAATTCAGTCTGAGCTTCTACAGCTGTTGCTCTAACCCTGGCCAGGCGATTCAGTTGATTGGAGCATCGTCCTGATGCGCCAATGTTGCCAGTTCAATTTCTCGTCAGGGCACATGGGGGAAGCAACCAATTAATGCATAAATAAGTGGAACAACCAATCAATGTTCCTCTCTGTCTAAAAATCAATTAAAAAAAACTTGCACTAGGTCAATGCCTACTGGATGTGGTAGGAGACTTGAAAGTGGTGGGGTTATGTTTTCTGCAAGGCACTTTTTTCCAGTTATTTGCCAAACAAACCTGAAGAGCAGCAAGGCCTGGTGTAACCTGGGGTTGTAAAAGCAGGGACTGGGGCAGCCTGAGGAAGACAAGGTTCTTTGCAAAGTACCTGCCCAATCACCAGCTGTTTTGACTGTTGTTTAGCTTTCCCCAGAAAGGATGCGGAGTCAGCCATGGAGGCCAGGTCTTACAGACACTGTCTCTAGATCACTATTTTACCCTCTCAGTTCTATATTCCTTCTATTTTTATTGATACTGAAATAGCCCCCCGCTTCACTGGTGAGACCTATGCAGGGCAGATGTTGAAACAATGGATCTGTTTCCATCTCGCATGAATTAAGACATATGGGAAGTTGGTTTGAATGAAGCCTGGGACTGCTAAAGTCAAGACAAAGCAAGCTGCCTACCCCTACCCCAAGCAGGTCATGCTGAAGTTTGGTCCTTAGTTAAGGATTGAGGCCTGCTCATCTCTTTGCCAACCCTAAAATCTCTTCTCACTTCCCGTCTTAGGTGTAGCAGCTCTTTGACAGACCTTACTTGCGTGAGTTCCGTCTTCCTGCCAGAAAAAACCTTGAAGCTGGAACACCCACTCCACCTGCCAGCAGCAAAAGAGGTCAGCCCCAGAGCAGTGCTGACCAACTTGGCCCCAAGCCCTAGTTAATCAGCATGATCCTAGACACAACTGTACATTTCTCCATAAGGGGACATGGGAAAGGGGGTGACAAAAATACTTTAGAGGCAAAACTAGCAAAGGGTGAGGAATTTTTCACTTGAAAAGTCTTTACTAAATCTAAGCTAAAAAAAAAAGTTGCAAAACAAGTTATAGCCCCAATAGTGTACTAAACAAACCAAAATACACATTTCTATGTTTCTAGAAGGGATACAAAAACGTTACTTTCTGAATTTTGTCAGTTTTCTCTATATTTTATATATATTTTTTATCAGCAATGAGTTTTTCAGACTAAATTTTTAGTCTTTTTTTTTTCCCCTCTGAGAATCTTTTATCTGGCTGACAAATATTAAATCCTAATTCAGGAAGAGCTCTTCTTGTTTGACCATTCCTTTCCAACTAGAGATGAGGGAGAAACCATTGTAAATTGAAACAAATTTAAGAAATCAATGTTATTCCTGTAATTCTATTCCACCCCTTAGAATAAACTCTAGCAGTATTGAAGGACTAGGCTGAGCCAGATCACAGTGGTACAGGGAAATTCAAGATCACAGGTTCCATTACAAGGATCACAGCTTGTCCAGTAATCTCAGATTGCCACTGAGCATTCATTACTCAGGCATTTGCTACGTACCCCAAGATGGGCATATGGCAGTTCCAGCAACCACCCAGTACCTTGGAAGCACTTAGCACTTCAGAGGCTTGGTATTAAAGCAGGTTTGTTTTTAGGGAAAACATACTAGTCACCTCAGCTGGGGCTTTCTGATGCCTTAAAACCTGGGGTCTAGGTTCCTATTTCTCTAGTTCTGTGGCCCTGCTATGTTACACTGAAGCACTTGGCATGTGTTGGTCCTGTTGATTTCTCAGGTTTTCACCATCACAGTCTTCACTGTGATTACAATGCTCTGCAACCCTTTGGCAAGTAGGGCACAGTCAAGATAAATGCAGTTTGTTGCAGGTGGACAGGTAAGGATCTGGGCCAAGTGACACCATCTCCACCTAACCTAGCCCTTTGAGAAAGGCCCAAAGGATTCTGAATCCTTCCTCTGAGAGGATTCAGCTGGTCAACTTTGTAAAGTACGTAACACCTGCTTGGAAGGTTTACCACAGTATTTAAAACTATTCTCGTCTTTCCTAAATTACTCATTGTGAACCTCTACCCACCTTCCCAGGTGAGTTCTGCCTTAGCCACACAATGGCCAGCCCTCCCAAGGCCTACTTACTCAGTTTAAATTCAAGGTAGGGAAAAATTGCGCTTCAGAATGAATCATCCATTTTATTTTATTTTGTCATGTGCTCAGAACCTCTTGCTCTCTTCTCTCCCTTCCCTGGCAGGTCACAGATAAATTAAAAATAAAATCTACAAGGAAAATAATTTATAAAAGCACTTCCCAGGCTTGTGCCTTCTATCCCTACCGCTCAGTTAATGTGTTGTATCCCCGCACCCCTCCACACCAAATGGGGAAAATCAGCACTTCCCCCATTCAACTCATTCCTGCTTGTCCAGCAGTACTCCAGAGCCAGACAGGGGTGGGGGGCAGCAGTAGCAAGTTAAAGACACTGGCCCTGGAACCATATGGCCACCTTGGCACTCCCCTCTCTGCTTCCCCCAGACAGTCCTCCAAGGAGCCCTTGCTGAGCTCAGGGTGCTAAGTTGCCTGTGGCAGAGGAAGGTCTCTCAACCTATTACATGCACTTCTCATTCTCCTAGGAAGAAACCCAAAGAAGAAAGCAGACAGACCTCAGGACAGAGGAGAAAAATCCCAAATGTTCACACAGTTAACACGGAGTCTTTATGGCAAAGAGAACATTTAGCAGCTTTGAATATTGGGGTATCTCCTTTTTACTCAACACAAGCATTCTAGACCCTATAAGTGAAACAGGGCTCAAGCCCTAAAAAAAAAAATCAAGGCGCAAGAAACTCTAAGAGGACTAGTATTTTGTTGTTGCTGGGTTTCAGAGTTTTCTTTTCCAGTGACAGGCCCAGTTGGTGGTGGGAGGCCTGAGGGGTCACTCCCCAGTGTTGTGCTGAATACTGCCTGGCTTCTCCACACCACCCCCTGCCTCAGAGCAGCCCCCAGAAGGCTGTAGGCCCATCACTGGGGGCACTGCCAGCATACAGCTGCAGAAAACCTCTGGGCAGCCGGTGAGGGGCGGGGAAGAGAACAGCATTTGCATGCAGGCTCTGATGGAGTCATGGGAACCTCAGCTCAGGGGTGACTGGGCACCAAGGGTGATGGAGTGGCAGGGCAGTGAGTGACATGCTTGGTGTTGGGGCTGCTGCAACACGGGGACCTTTCCTGTTCACTCTACCCTTTAACCCTAACCCTCCAAGCTACTGCTGGGTCCCAGTGGCTCCCGTGTTGAAACATTCAAGGAGTTATCTAAGAGCTCCCCTTCAGAGATGCCAAAGTGTGGGAGCAGAAAGAGTTCACAAAGCCCCTCCCAGAACCCACCCTGTCTGTGTTCCTCCCCTGGGGTGAAGTGGGGTTTATTCACACCAATGACCTAGTCCCACCTAAAACCTGCTGCCTGGAATCCTGGTGAGATTCAATCTTAACCTGCACTACTTCCAGCTTTGATTTTTTTTGGTTTCTTTCCTTCCTGGAATGAGACTTCCTACTACTTCCTCTCCCAAGTCCCTTCCTTCCCCTTTGTCCGCCTCCATCAATGCCTTCACCACCCCACCCCTACCCTCAAAGGAAAGGGGGATGGGTGAGGACCTTATCCACCCAAACAGTCTGGCAACTTCCACCCTCCCCAGTGGGGGAAGCTGAGCCAGACAGCGCCTGTGCCTGTGCCTCTTCCTGTCCACTGACCCAGTCATCCCATCTGAGGAGATCTATTGGATTAAGAAGGCATTCAAGTCCCCTCTTGTAGGTCCAGGTCCAGGCCCAGCCCTTCTCCAGTTTCGATCTTGGTGTCAACCCCCCTTCCTCCCCAGGCTCACTTTCTCCGGTCCTTTGGCTTCCTCTCCTGCCGCCGGGCCTGCTGGTCGGCCAGGGTGCGAGGAATGAGGAGGACACTGCCATCCCCAGCGTACTGAAGAGCATACTGACTGGGCGAGTAGGGTCGCCCATTCTCATCTCGCAGCCGCCCAAACACCTCCTGGTACAAGCTCTGGACCTTCTGCTTCATTTGCCGCAGAGACCGGAGGAACTCCACCTTCTCTCGCAGTAGTCGGGCTTTATCACGCTGCAGGTCCTCCACATCCCGCTCTAGGTTCAGGATGGTGTCCAGCTTGCGCTTTCGGCAGTTCTGCGCTGCCATCTTGTTCTTGCCCCTGCGCCGGATGTCCCGGATGAGGCTCAGCTGGGCTTCACTGAGCTGGTATTTGGACAGCAGCTCATTGAATTCCTCCACAGGCAGGTTGATGATTTTGTCATTGGTGAAGGGGATCTTCATGGCTCGTGCTCGATGCTCATCCCGGCTCATCTGCTTGTCCAGGAAGTCAGCCTGCTTCTCCTTGCTGCCTTTCTTGAGGGCGCTGGGCGGTGGCAGGTCAGCAGAGTCAAGGGCACTGGGCGCCATGTTGTACGTGTGGTTGTGGCCCACATGCTCCAAATAGGGCAGGCAGGAGAGCTGTGACGGATCCTGGTAGCTCATGCGACAGAACTTGGAATACTCAGGTTGATAGCCCACAGCGCCCTCTGCCTCTTCTAGATCCAGGGTTTCAGAGTCTGAGCTGTAGCCAACAGCACCTTCCTCGGAAAAGGAGGAAGAGGCTGAGGAAGAAGCAGAGGAGGAGGAGGAGGAAGAAGAGGAGGAAGAGCTGCCTTCTGAGCTGCTCAGGGAGGAAGGGCTATGGCTAGAGTCCAAGGAGAGGCCTGAGTCAGAGTCAAATTCCTCTTCAAGCTGGGAGGCCTGCACAGAGTTAAAGCCTTCTTCAATGGCCAGGTCCATTAGGCTGATCTCATCCAGCATCGCTTCATCTAACAGACCCCCCAGTGGGTCAGGCAGCTCAGGGCCTGCCGTGTCATTGGCTGTGCCATTGAGCTGGGGCGGAAAGAAGAGGCCTGCCAGGTTGGAGCCAAAGGTGGAGTTGAGGCTGGTAGAATTGCTGGGGACCAGCGGAAGCAGTGTGGAGCTGCTGGCCACAGGCAGGCTTTCCACCTCGGGGCTGAAGAGCGAGAAGTCCTGGCTGCAGCCCCCCAGGGATGCCTGATGCAGGCTGACATTCTGATTGATGGGAGTGTTGGGGGCAAGGCTGTAGTTGGTGCTCAGTGGGTCTCCAGGAGGGGTACTGTACAGAATCTCACTTGCTGATGTGTTCACTTCCATGGCCTGGGAGGGAAGAAGAGTGTCACCTTTCACTCAGAGCAGACTCCCTCCCCAGGTGAGGCTAGGGGCTCATACGAGCAGGCACCCAACACAGGCACAACTGCATGGGTATAAAAACAAGAAACTGGAAATCAGGGCCCACAGCATCAGCTCCTGCCCCAATTGGTCCACCGAGTCTGGTAGAGATGAGTTCCTCCCTATGGACTCCACTCTAATACAGGACTGACCAGCTCATGTTTGGCCAGACTCCCCCATCTTGAAGGGAGAGTAAGAAAACACCTAACATTATCTCTTTATTGCAAAATCAGCATAGTAAAAAGACCAAACCTTGGAATGAGAAAACTTAGCTGTACCACTTGCTGTGTGACCATGGATATATCACTTAACCTCTCTGAAGATGACCTGGGATCCAGGAGATAGCGGTTTGATTCCCAGTCAGAGCATATGCCCAGGTTGAGGACTGAATCTCCAGTTCGGGGTGTGCAGGAGGCAGCCAATCAATGACGACTTTCTCATCACTGATGTTTCTCTCTCTCCCTCTCCCTGCCTCTCTCTGAAATCAATAAAGATTTTTTTTTTTTAA